CGATGCATGTTGTAAGCAGTGCAAAGGTACCTCAGAGACATCAGTAACGGATGTTAGTGATGATAACATTGATGGGAAAAACAGTGGTAAAGCCAGTGGTGACGGTCAACAGAAAGTTTCTCCCCATGCTCACCCTGCAGCCATGATCCAAACCCAAGCTTGCGCACAGGTGAGCACACTCACACATTAATACAGACATCGCACCCCCAGTAACACCCACAATCACCGATGACGTCACCATGCGCGTGCATGTACACAAGAGTGTAAGAAAAGGAGAAAACATAATAAAAGCCCAAACAAAACCCAGTGTATGGCTCCTACAAAGATCATAGTTCTGTTTTAACTGTTCAAAAGAGCTAAATGTGCCTTCTCTATAAAGATCTAGAATTGTTACTATACCCATGTGTTTCCATTGAAAAAAGAGCTTATCATGTAACCCCGGAGGAAAAGCATGATTATTACAAATTGGTGTGTCCAGATATATATCTGGAATTTTCAAATATACCTTAATTTGTTTCCACACCTTAATTATATTAGAGATAACTATGTTTCCGTTGATACTTTTGGCGTCAATTTTAATGGGACTATTGAGCAGAGCCGTTAATGAAGTCTTATTACAACAAGCTTCTTCAATTGCTAACCATTCTGGCTTGTCACCTAACTCCACCAATCCAGATTTCCTCCACCATGCTAAAGAACATAAATTGGCTGCCCAATAGTAATATTTAAAATTAGGAAGCCCAAATCCACCTTGATCTTTAAGTTTGTTTAGATGTTTCTTATTAATCCTCGCAGTCTTGTTGGCCCATATGAAGCTAGTTATAATAGATTCTAGCTGTTTAAAATGATGAAGGGGGATAAAGAAAGGAATACATTGAAACACATACAAAAATCTTGGAAGTACAACCATTTTTACAGCATTTATTCTGCCTACCATGGACATGGGGAGTGTCTTCCAAAAAATTATATTCTCTTTAAGCTGATCAATTTTCTTTTTCCAATTAAATTTTAATAACATTTCGGGGTTTTTAGTGATCAACACACCCAAATATTTAAATGAATTGTTTGCAATTTTAAATTTGGTACTAGCTAAAAAATTTTTATCTAGATCGTCAGAGACTGGCATTAATTCACTTTTTTCCCAATTTATCGTGAATCCAGAAAAACTGCTAAATTTTTCAATAAGCTCAAGTATTGGTGGAATAGACATTTCAGGGTTAGAAATGTACAATATAATATCATCTGCATACAGCGAAAGATGTTGGGGTCTGCCCTTGATCGTTATAGGTGCTATGTTAAGATGTTGCCTGATACTTACTGCCAATGGTTCCATTGAAATGGCAAACAAAAAAGGAGATAGGGGGCATCCTTGTCGTGTGCCACGAGATAACTGAAATGGATTTGAAACGTCTTGGTTAGTTATAACTGAAGCTACTGGATGCGCATAAATCATTTCAATCCATTTAACAAATTCTGAACCGAATCCAAATTTCTTTAGTGCAGCATTCATATATTTCCACTCTATCTGGTCAAAGGCTCGTTGAGCGTCTAGTGAAATTACACATGTCTTTACGTTTTCTTTGTTATAAATTATGTTAAACAGTCGTCTCAAATTAAAATATATATGCCTATTGGGCATAAAACCTGTTTGGTCCTGATGAATTATTGAACAAATGTATTTTTTCAGCCTATTCGCAAGAATTTTGCTTATAATCTTAGATTCAATGGGAATAAGAGAAATCGGTCGATAGGAAGCCATCTGCTGTTTATCTCGTCCTGGTTTTGGAATTAATACTATACTCGCACGGTACATTGTTGGTGGAAATTTACATTGTGTTGTTGCATCTCTAATCAATCTTTGGATTATAGGAATAAGATTATTCCTGAATTTTTTAAAGAATTCAGCACTAAAGCCGTCAGGTCCGGCCGATTTATTATTGGGTAACTGTGATATTACTTCATTTATTTCTTCCAGTGTGATTTCTTTGTCTAAAAATTGTTTTGCTTCAGTGTTAAGAATGGGAAGGTCCAAACCAGAAAAAAAATCTTCTATTACTTCCGAGCTTGTTTCACATTTTGATTCATAGACTTCTCTATAGAAATCAGCAAAGCAACAATTAATTTCTTTAGGATCAACGATTATTTTCCCACTATCCGACTTTATTTTGTATATCGCACGAGTTGCCTGAGAATGCTTTAATTGGCGTGCAAGCAGTTTTTGGGGTTTATCACCTATTTCAAACTGCCTTTGCCTAATAGACACAAGTTGTCTTGAAATATTCTTAGAGAGAATTGAGTTATATTCGCTTCGCAGCACAATTATTTTCTTGAGTATAGTCTCACAACTGGTTGATCTGTATTCCATCTCTAAATTTGTTATTTGTTTGTCAATATTATTCAATTTGGCTCTATTCTCTCTATTTTTTGCAGTTTGATATGCTATAATATCACCTCTGATAACTGCCTTCATTGCCTCCCACAGGACTGAGTCAGATACATCTCCTTTATCGTTGTTTTCTAAAAATAGTGTAAACTTGTTAGAAATATATTCACAAAATTTGACATCATTTAATAACACATTATCAAATTTCCAGGCATAATCTCCCTTACTAAATTGTATTCTTAAATTAAGAGAAACAGGGGCATGATCTGATAATAATCTATTATGATATTGAGTTGAAACTACGCATTGCAACAGTCTGGAATCTATCAGGAAAAAGTCAATTCTTGAGTATGCTTTATGGACTGAGGAGTAGAATGAAAAGTCATGATCCGTGGGATGCAAAGCTCTCCAGCAGTCGATTAGATTTAACTTTTGCATGTAATTGCTTAGTACCCCAGATGATTTACTAGTTGCGGTTCGGCGGGGATACGTGTCTAACCTAGCATTTAACACGCAATTGTAATCGCCTGCTATGATAACTCGTGAATGCATAAAGTCGGGTATGATTTTAAAGACATTTTCAAAAAATGAAGGGTCATCAAAGTTAGGACCATACACATTCACTAAAGTGATGGATAATGAGTTTATCTCCCCACACACAACCTGCCATTCCTATCCTTAATTGTCTGCTTATGTATAAAGGGGACCGATTTCTTAATGATAATTGCTACTCCTCTAGTTTTAGTAGAAAAATTTGACTGGTAGACCTGAGACATCCATGGAGCCTTAATGCTAAACTTCGCTGTACTTTTGATGTGCGTTTCTTGAAGAAAAACTATCTCCGCATCCAATTTCTTAAGATGCGCATAAACCTTTCCTCTTTTAACTGGACTATTAATTCCACGCACATTCCAACTTAATAAATTCAGTGTCCCATCACTGCAAGTTCTCACTCCGTTACTCAGTGTATTGAATAAAACGTGTTTTGCCTGAACACATTAAATAAAAACTGTATTAAACCTTCCAATTTAAAACATGTAACCTTCCCATGAAATTGAACATTACGAACCTTGTGTATTAAAGCAGATACACCCTCCCATCCCACCCCCCACCCACTGCATCCCATTCCCATACGAACATTATGGATGCCCACCCCAAAGAAAATAACATTTGCATCTGTCAACTCACCCTCGATGCCACCTGGCATTCTTCCGTTAATATAACCCACCACTCATCTTAGCAAATACAACAAAAACAATACCTTGTAGTCTTTTCAATATATCAAATGGAATTATTTAAGCACAAGTCTCTTCTGACTCTGTTGTCCAACGTAGCAATTTCACCAGTTTTCCACCGCGCCCCGTAGAAATATTTCGGCCGACTCGGGTGAATCAAAAGTTTTCGTTTCTTTATCCCTCACGGTCACGATGAACTTGGACGGGAAACGAAATCCACATCTCACTTCATGCTGCCTGCATTTCTTTCGTATGTTGTCAAACTTCTGCCTCTGCTTCAAGATGTCCGCGGCGAGATCTGGAAAGATATGCATCGCTTTTCCATCAAATTGCAGAGGTTTCGATCTTGCCAGGCGCAGAATGCGTTCTTTCACTTGATAGTGATGAAGTCGTACAATGAATGCCCGAGAGCGGCCTTCTCTTATGGGTTGTGGCGAGCGGTGTGCCCTGTCAATCTGAATGGGTCGGTCGAAGTTCTCCTCACCCAACACCTGAGCCAGAAGATTGGTTACAAACTCAGTAGGTTTGCCATTTTCAGCGCCTTCCTTTATGCCGATAATTCTAACGTTTTGTCGTCGGGATCTTGATTCTAAGTCACAGGACTTTTCCTTAAGCTTTTCACATTCGGACTCCAGGTGTGCACATAACTTCTCCAGTGATTCGATGCGGGCCTCGTGAACTTTTGCTGCCTCTTCAGTCGTTGCTACTCTGGTGGAAATACTAGCAAGTGATACTTTCACCTCGGATAACGTAGATGAAAGGACATCGAACTTCATGTCGAAGGTGCTGCTCAATTTCGCTATTGCTTCCATTATGTCTGTGTTCGTCGGCACTGTTGCTTCAACGCTGACGTTAGCTTGAAGATTAGCCTTAGCCGGCGACGACTCGCGAACTTTATCTGTACCTCCTGGCTCCTCCGTATTCGATTTTTCAGTTTTCTTCTGCTTTGTCGGCATTGCTCAGGATGTTCAGAATTAATAACTTGTGATATTTAAGCGGCTACAAGGTATTTTCTCTGACAATACGACAGACTTGTGGAGAGCTATAAAAAACACGTTCACTCCATTCGGTGCCGGAAGCGCCCCCCTGCCAAGCATTTTTAAGAATGCTGAATTAGCGAACTGTCCGCTTTGGTCGTGTGAGCACTTAATTTATCTATCCTGCAGTGTTGTTGATATTTGTTGAGTTGTGGTTTGATAAACTGTTTGATGCTAATTTATTTGTTGTGCATTATTAGCTGTTGGTTTCCTTGTTTTTAATAGACTGGCAAGATCTCAGCGGACAGTTTTCTGAAAAGTTTTTTTGAGTGGGAGGCTGTGCGATTTGAGTTGGACAATATGTGCAAGGAAGAAACCTTTAACTGTCCTGCGTGCACTCCTGAAATGCTTGCAGTTTCAGTTGATGGAAACCGCAAGCATTATCGTTTCAAGAATGCTGCTAGGTACTCCAAACTGTGTATCACATTGTTTTTATTAATAGGAAAACATAACTCTTTAATGTGTGAACCATGAAATCTCAGATTATAAGTTATCATAAATTGTTATCCATCACCATTGTTGTTTTTTATTTTTTTAGATCTGAGGAACAGGCCATCTTTGAAGGCGTCTTCATTGCCAAGGATGAAGACGTGAAAAGATTTGTGGACCACATTCACAACACAACCAAACATGTAAAATTTTGTAAAACCTTTTTCCGAGGAGTTTGTTTATGAGAGTCTTATTTTCATCCACCATTTTTCTTATTGTAGGTCAGTGGAAGAGGTGTTTGTGGAGGTGAGTGGTCAGCAGCCAGAGAGACCTCACAAAGATCTGCCAGCAAGGTAGACGAGGAGGGATTGGAGCTTGCGGTGTGTCGGCACGGTGTCCTGCTCTCTGCCTTAAATATGTATCGGGGGGAAATTTTTGCCTATCCCCTGTACCTGCAGAAAAGCTGGCCAGTAGGCAAATCACTTTTTTTTGCATGGATGTGACCTGCAAATATTGGCCCTACCTCCAAAGAGTTGCGAAAAGCTGTCCAGAGCTCCAGCACCTTCTGAACATGAAGCCTTTCCTTCGGTATTTCATGCCAAAGCCCATGATTTTAAATGTGAGGTAAGGAAATGTGCTATATGATATAATTGTATTATCTAAATCTACAATCATCTGTTTTTTTCTTTTGTTGTTGTTTTTTTTTTATTGTTTTTTTTCTTTTTTATTCTTAACCAGGTGAAATGGAGTGGGGCATATCAGGATGGGCTGGTCTAACACTGGGGGAGGAGGTGGAACAGTGCAATGCCTTCCTCTCTAGGATTGCAGTGACCACAAAACATATGTCAAAAGCAGGTAAGGTGACATACTGCACTAGGTACATCCTAATTTGGAGGAATATGGTAACATCTTATTTTCTGTCTTTGCAGGACGCACAGACATGCTCACTCTCATGGCCATGCGCTGGAATCAGCAAAAGGTCAACAATTTGGCAATCTCACTGACCCGCCGATATCAAAAGGTAATGACATCAGTAGAATTAATTTTAGATGTTCAGTATTGCATGTTAGCAGTGTATGAAGCTGTGCATCGAACATTTGGTTCTTGTTTCTTACTACTGTTTGTTGATGTAGACCACAAAATCTCTGCAAAGCCAGTTACAAAACCTAGAGACCATGAAAGCCCAATTGACAGTGACAGCGAGCCAATTGGAAGACTGGGTGAATGATGTAAAGGATTGGGCTGACGGTAAGGAAATGATTACTTGTAATACATTTAGTCACAAATAATTGTAATTGTTACTGGTATTGTAAAGTGCAAACCACACCTATTTCTTCTCAGCAGCAACAACAGCAACAACAACTACGAATGATGCTGATGCCCTGGCCAGCAGAATTGAGGTGCTGGTAGCCAGTATCAAGAGACGTTCCCAGCGTCTCTATAAAGATAACGATGGCAACAAAGGTCGAGCCCGAATCCGCCGCAAGATCAGGGAGGAGAAGGGAATCCTGACATCTGTTGTGGAGAAATACAACAGAATGGTTCCAATCACAGAAACTCTTTGCCTAGACACCATTCTGTCTGGTGAGACAGCTTGCCATGGCAGCTCCCACACAGTGGTATGTACACTAGACTGTTGACTGCTACTGACAAATCTGATACATAATGACTTCAAATGTTATTCTGCAACCCCATACTATTTTAGAGGGTCTTTGAAGGTTGATGTTTAAAACTAATGATTTGTTTATTTATCATAATGCATTCCAGACTCTGTCGATCTAAGGACAAAGAGAAGAGCCTTTGACATCATCATGTCAGTAAGGAGGCTTGAGGAGGAGCAGAAGATTCTTGTTGCAGAGATGGACCACCATTGGAAATCTCTCTCAGCTCGTTCTGATACCCTCAGAGAGCTGTCCTGCTTATTTTCAAGTGAGACACTCTATATTATGTATTTTGTAATAAATTACATAACCATAGTAGCCTGGGAAAACCCATACAACTTCCGGCAAATTTAGATTTGCTCTGAAAGTTAGTCTGGCAAAGAGCTCATTCAAGCTCATTTCCAATCCGTCGAAATCGCGGCACAATCAGAAACGCTGGGCGGGCTTTTACACGATGACAACAGCGCTAGGATTTTGAAGCAGATTTTGTAGCCTACATTATAAAGTTGGGTGCCGCTGTCAAATCACTCGTTCGAATCAGCTATCGTGTCTGTTTTAAGCGATTTGAACGTTTCCTTTGTGTTAAAAACCGAGAAAGAACAAACACTCGGAGATGTTTCTCCACCGCTCTGCATACGTCATCTCCTTCATCACTCTGATTGGTTTTAGGTCTATCCGCGATGTCCGTTGGTGACGCCCCTTCTGGAAATGATTTGTCTGTGATGCTTTGCCAGACCATAACTCAATTATGAATGAATGGTCTGGTGCAAACCAGGCTATAGCCATAGGGTTGCACCGACAAAAGATTGCTATTAGGGGGCCCTAATAAATATACACACAACAATGATGACTGTTTATAACGTTTCTAAGGCTGGTATATATTCTTGTTGTTCCTCTTTTAAGATTCGCAATGTGATCTAAGTGGAGAGGGTTTGAAAGGTCTGCACAGCATCATCCTCAGAAAGCGGCATCAAAT